ATCCCCATCCCCATCCCTGCTCACTGCTGGGACGGGGCAGCTCAGCCTCACCACCAGCGCCGTCCCGTGCAAGCCCTGCAGGTCGGGGGCCCCCACGTCTGCCTTCCCAAGCCCCCTGGGCTGCTCAGGGTGCACTTGTCAGCCTGTCCTTTTTCTTCCACTTATTTTGCCATTAAAACGTTTGCACTGCTAATGGGACAAATAAAAAAGCCCATTTGTTCCTCTTTATTACCCTGGGAGGGGACAGGGAGAGAGAGGAGGCTCCTCCTGGCTTGAATGGTTAATCTATTTGTCCTGCACTAAATTCTCCAGTCTATTCTCTGTTGACCCATTGCCTGATGCACGGCACATTAAAGCCTGTATATAACAGAGGGAAGAGCTGTGTAATAGCAGGATTAAAGAAATCTGCCGTTCTGGCTGCATTTCCCCGACTGTTTGCAATAAAGACGTCAGGGTGCTGAACAGATAGTGCCATAACGCGGCGTGCGGGGAGACAGCCCACCGGGGCCAGGAGCCACAGTGGTGATGGTAAAAACCTGCACGAAGGAGAGGCAATGGTGGTCCCTTCCAACCCTAAACATTCTATGATTCTAGGAGCCCCCGAGCCACCCCCCCCAGGCTCCCGACGTGCCAGCCGGGCTCCAGCCAGGACTCTGACCATTCCCAGGGTTTTCTGTTCCTGCTCCCCTGGCTCCGAACCCCAGCCCAGAGCCAGGACACAGAAGAAAGCTGGCTCCCACCTGAGCAGGGATGCGCCGGGGTGCAGCCGCCCTCCTGCTCCCTGCACGGGGCTCCCGCTGCCCAAAGCACCGCTTCCAGCAAACCGCCTCTTGCCGACCCAGGCAGCGCCGCTCAGTTTGTGCTCCAAACCAGGGTCCCCCTGCCCTGAGGGGGACACATCATTCTGCCTAAATCCGCCTGCCTGGGGAAAAGAAATCCCAAGGACACCCTCTGGCTGGTGGCTGGACGGTCACTGCGCCACGGTCCAGCCCCTGAAGGCTGCGTCACCTTGGCTTCAGTCTTTCCCATGACGGGCAAAGCTATTGCTCCCGAGGGTTGCAAGTCAAGAAGCAGGGAGAGCCACCATCCTGCCGAAAACAAAACGTGCGCTGACCTCTACAGCAAGAAAACGTGGGTGCCAAAGAGAAGAAGGCTTTAACAGAGAGAGAGAAAAACTGGCAAGATGGAGAGGCCAGCCCTAACGCGATCTTTTCCAAGAAGCATTCTGATGAACGAGGCAGGAGAGCAGAGGAGCCCTTCCCATCAGCAGCGAGGGGGCCTTTCGCTCACCCCCAGCCCAGAGCTACAGCAAAGCCGGGGATTTAACTGCACCCACGGCACCGCTGGGCACCACCCCCGGCACAGGGGCTCGGCAAAGGAAAAGCCAAGCTAAAGCAGGGCAGAGCCGCCCTGCGCTGGATCCTGTTTGCTCCCCCTCCCCTCTGATGCCGGCACGGCCGTCGCAGCCGCTGCCCGGGCATATACACGCCGCACACAA